CGTTATAAATGACTTGAAGTTATGAGTTTAGTATGGGCCCCTATGGGCCACACTGCTGCAATTAACTATTTTTTCCCTGTCAAAGTTTTCTTTGTTTTTTTTTGAATGCAAAACTAAATAAATAGAAACGAACTGTATTTTTTTACTACAAGCTATTACATAAAATAAATTTATAAATAAATTGTTTCTTTCACGCTGGTGTTATTAGGTGAAACGTATTGTAAATAAAGTGCAGTTACATGTTTTCTCCGCTAGAGGGAGACAGAAACAAGGTTCTTCCACTCATCTGAACCAAACAAATAAACAAGCTTTCAGTTGGATTAATTGTTTTGTGATAAACCGCTGTGCAATGTCTTGGAATATGTTTGTTTCTTTTTCTTTCCTTAAAGTTTGACTGTTTTACAAACAATCTCCTGTTTTATTTAAAAACTAAAGTCTCACGCTCACCGAGCGACAACACGCAGCCAATCGTTTTAAAACTCTCCCCGCAAATGTTATGTTGGATTTCCTGCAGTTAGTTATCCACTTATAAGATCAAAATGTACTTTACCTTATAAAAAAAAGCTTAAATAAACGAAGCGCTCACCTTATCCTTTGGCATGGAAAGTCCCGAATGAAAAACCGAAAGTAAAAACTTGCCAGTTAAAGTTAATGTTTCTTTAAAAAATGTCTCCTTCCTGCTGCACCTCTATAGACCAACCCTGAAAGCTGAACACAACGCCACGAACACTGGTGATAAATAATAAAGTGAAGCTTTCGTTTACAGAGAAAGGAAAGTGAAAGTGTCAGCAGACAGACAGCGGTGCAGCCATCATGGCGGACGCGTATTCTTATCATCTGTTAGTGGAGCTGGAGGAAACCAACGCTCCCAGGTTAAAAACTAAGTTAATAAAGTATTTTCAGAGTAAGAAATCTCACGGAGGAGACTGTGAGGTGGACCATGAGGCCGGCAGCAGGACAGCAGTGCTGCGTTTCCGCAGTGAGGAAGGTGGGTTTCAAACTGTGGGGCTGCAAAAACTCACTTTAACAAGAATTAAATCTTTATCTTTTTTTTTATTATTGTAAATAACTCTTCTTAATGCTGTGTTTCCTCTGCCAGACCAGAGGAACGTCCTGCAGAAAGAGTCGCATCAAATCAGTGTGGATAAAGGCGTGTTAAAGATGACTGTTCACCTCCTTTCAGAGGAGAAAACAACTCAGGTAAACAAAAACAATCTCATTAACAAACAGACCTTCACTGTTTGGATTTGTTAGTTTCCCTAATTTCATAACAGGCAAGTCTGAAAACAGAACACACCCACTGTGTGTGAGTGTAATTTATTCATCTTCACTTTTCGATCAGTGTCTATTTATCTTAAAGATTCATGTATTTTATGTTTTTAATCCATGAGATTTTGATTTAATGCTTGTTTCTTTAAAATCTGCTCATATCTTAGTGGAAGTCATGTGATCGATCGTAAACAGMAGAGGCAATAGTTATTATCTTTGTTCCTCTAACTTCCTTTTGTGTTTACAGCTTGRGCCAGGGCAGGAATAAGGAGGGGCTGGGTCTTGGGCCAAGAGCTTGTTTGGGCTCCTCTCCATMTTTTTAACATTTGTACAAAATGCAGTATAGATTCTAGGGCTGCCACGATTAATCGACGACTAATCGATTATTAAAATAATCGATGACTAATTTAATAATCGATTAATCATTTTCTTTTTTTTGTTGTTTTTCTCTCCAAACTGCTTTGACACCTTCCACTGCCACATCTGCCTTTCTGTCCTTGACACACATGCACAGAAGTGGTAACTGGGGTAGGCCGTGGATGTCACAAGACATTATACAGACAGGCTCTGGTATCATGGCTACCTGACAACAGAGCTCAAAGTGTGGGATCATTTTAAGAAAATAAAAGAGAAACCTGTGTAACATCTGCAGAGCAGAACCTGCCTTCCACAGCAATTATTTTTAGTTAGCATATAGCTAAAATCTAACCATGGTTATATAATAGCAGCTGCATTCTGGCGCGATAAGCTCTATGTTTTATATTCAATTAACGTATGATCTGATTAGTCGACTAATCGAATAAATAATCGGTGATTAATCGATTGTAAAAATAATCATTTGTGGCAGCCCTAATAGATTCTGTGCATATTMAGGCTTCTAATGATAGGTCTAAAGTCTGCATACCATCTGAAATAAGAGCTAATACTAAGAGCTCTGCTCTGTCACACTTTATCTTTTAATTAATTATTGCAACACAACACAAATCACAAGTGGATTTAAACAGTTTGATAAAAAAAACGTTTGGGATTTCCTGAGAGCATCTGTATATAAAAAAGTGAAAGTATTCCTATCTGAATAAATACATTAATACATCACGTCTACTGTTTTCTTCTTTACTTTATACAGGAGGATCCGTCTGATAAAGGCAGCAAGAMGTGTAAGTAGTAACAACAGAACACATGTTTTAGGTATCTGTAGTTAATATTTCTACAGAATGTGGAGAACAGCAGATTATATTTTAATTTTGTCCTTWAAGACAGTTTTGGACTTTTGTTTTCAAGATTTGAAATTTAATTAATACTTGTTAAAGTGCTTTTCTTTCATTTAGGTTTTATAATTACTATATAAAGTTTAAATCACTTTAACAAGCTCAGTTGTACAAAAACAATATGCAAAGATTTAGTTTCACTTTTGTTCTAAGCACAAAAGCTTCTTTCCTCATTTGTCTCAGTTTAGTTGTTTGTTTTACTSTAAGTAGAATGATGTTGAGTGTAAATAATGTAATTTATTATAAGAAATGAAATAGCCACAGCTCAGTATTTCTAATAATGAAAGACTATGTAACTAGAGGCTTTAGTTTTTACCACAGATTATTAGGGCCACACAACAAGATTATTATTGTTTTTTTTTATTATGTGAATAAACTCATAACATTACGAAAACCTTGACATGAAAAAGCAGTCATACCACTGCACTAMAATGAGGAATGTTGAGCAAATTATGAAGTTGTTTTTTTAGTATAAATACTTAATCTTTTACCACTTTGGCATCAAATTATCAGTAGCAGGACTTTGAAATGATAAACTGAAGCTGTATTGTACTCAGTGGCTGCATTGTCAGATTTAGTCGTCATGAAATTTGGATAAAAGCATTTTACACTTGTAGAAAAAAATGCGATGTTGAAAATGGTATGTCTGAATAAAACAGGAATCCACTGGATTTCTTCTTAAAACCTTTTTCTCAGTCTTCTGACTCCGATCAGATTCACAGTACAGCACTCAGCAGGCCTCAGTGTGAGACCTTGGGCTGAAATCAAAGCAAAACACAGCAGCCTGTTCTAAGCAGAGACTCTGCAACACTAACAACTTTTTACTACTACAGGTGCTGGTCATAAAATTAGAATATCATGAAAAAGTAGATTTATTTCAGTAATTCCATTTAAAAAGTGAAACTTGTATATTATATTCATACATTACATACAAACTCATATATTTCAAATGTTTATTTCATTTAATTTTGATGATTACAAATGACAACAAATGAAAATCTCAAATTCAGTATATCAGAAAATTAGAATCTTGTGAAAAGGTTCAAAATGGATGGCACCTGGTACCACACTCTAATCAGCTAATTAACTCAAACCACCTGCAAAGGCCTTTAAATGGTCTTTCAGTCTAGTTCTATAGGCTACACAATCATGGGGAAGACTGCTGACTTGACAGTTGTCCAAAAGACGACCATCGACACCTTGCACAAGGAGGGCAAGACACAAAAGGTCATCGCTAAAGAGGCTGGCTGTTCACAGAGCTCTGTGTCCAAGCACATTAATAGAGAGGCGAAGGGAAGGAAAAGATGTGGTGGAAAAAAATGTACAAGCAAGAGAGATAACCGCACCCTGGAGAGGATTGTGAAACAAAACCCATTCAAAAATGTGGGGGAGATTCACAAAGAGTGGACTGCAGCTGGAGTGAGTGCTTCAAGAAGCACCACACACAGACGTATGAAAGACATGGGTTTCTGCTGTCGCATTCCTTGTGTCAAGCCACTCTTGAACCACAGACAGCGTCAGAAGCGTCTTGCCTGGGCTACAGAGAAACAGGACTGGACTGCTGGTGAGTGGTCCAAAGTCATGTTCTCTGATGAAAGTAAATTTTGCATTTCCTTTGGAAATCAAGGTCCCAGAGTCTGGAGGAAAAGAAGAGAGGCACTTCATCCACGTTGCTTGAAGTCCAGTGTAAAGTTTCCACAGTCAGTGATGGTTTGGGGTGCCATGTCATCTGCTGGTGTTGGTCCATTGTGTTTTCTGAGGTCCAGGGTCAACGCAGCCACATACCAGGAAGTTTTAGAGCACTTCATGCTTCCTGCTGCTGACCAACTTTTTGGAGATGCAGATTTCATTTTCCAACAGGACTTGGCACCTGCACACTGTGCCAAAGCTACCAGTACCTGGTTGAAGGACCATGGTATCCCTGTTCTTAATTGGCCAGCAAACTCTCCTGACCTTAACCCCATAGAAAATCTATGGGGTATTGTGAAGAAGAAGATGCAATMCACCAGACCCAACAATTCAGAAGAGCTAAAAGCCACTATTAGAGCAACCTGGGCTATCATAACACCTGAGCAGTGCCACAGACTGATCGACTCCATGCCATGCCGCATTGCTGCAGTAATACAGGCCAAAGGAGCCCCAACTAAATACTGAGTGCTGTACATGCTCATACTTTTCATGTTCATACTTTTCAGTTGGCCAACATTTCTATAAATCCTTTGTTTTTATGGGTCTTCAGTAGTATTCTAATTTTCTGATATGCTGAATTTGAGATTTTCATTTGTTGTCATTTGTAATCATCAAAATTAAATGAAATAAACATTTGAAATATATGAGTTTGTATGTAATGTATGAATATAATATACAAGTTTCACTTTTTAAATGGAATTACTGAAATAAATCTACTTTTTCATGATATTCTAATTTTATGACCAGCACCTGTATAATAATGAATTGACCTTATAATGTATTTCTCTTGCTGGTTACACCCCAGGAGGTGTTACCTTTTATGTCAGACATAGAACGTAACTCATTTTTATTTAAGCTAAAAGAAAGAACACATAAGACACACACCAACTATTTGTCTGCTTTAACTTTAAAGGCTGAAATGATTAGAAAGTATAAAACACAAAACTGCATCTAACATTCAATTAATCATTTACAAAATTTTCCTTTACACTAACAGTGACCCCCAAAGTCAAACTGAGACGCGTGACTGTCCACGGCAGGTGTGAGGAAAATGATGAGGAAATGAGCCAAAAACGGACGTCATATAAGATTATGACTTTTTTCTCGTAATATTACGACTTTAATTTCATAATTTAAAAAAAAACTTTTTGTGGCCCTAATACTCCGTCGTAAGTTTTAGCAAACGTCAGATGGAAAAACAAATCTTTGTTTTTCTTCTTTTTAGTCTTTAAAGTCTTATTGTCATATTTAGTAAATAATTCAGGTAAATTCCCTCAAAGATAGATTTTCTTTCAGCTCTTACAGCTCTGTTAAAGCGAAATGTCACTTATTCATCTTTCACATCTCACTAACAGCAGATGTTTCAGTGACCAACAAACCTTCAGCTGCTGACAAACAGAAACCCGTGGATGTGGTTCAGGAGGAGCCACAAGGCAACGATGATGATGATGCAGAAGATGAAGAGCTGTGCTCCACCTCAGCTGTCTTAGAGAAAATTCCAGAGAATGTAAACCAGGAATTCTTGGAGATGCTTGTAGAGAATGTTTTAAAAGACCGTAGCTCTACCACTGCCCCTAATTTCACTTTGGATTTCCTTCCTGACGGCTCCAAGGGTGTCGTGACATTCCAGAATGGAAAAGGTACAGATTCAGTTTACAGTTTCAAAAAGCTCAACTTTTTGTATTCCTTTTGAGAAGAATTCAGGTAAAGTTTCACCAAAATGTCCTCCTCTTCTACTGTTTCACAGATAACTCTGACTTTGTAGCAAAGTGTCCTAAAAACAGGATGTTCACCAAGATGAAACTATCAGTTCGACCTCTTGAAGTCACAGAACAAGTTGTAGTTGAAGGCATTTCAAACTGCAGTGTTGACATAATTGAGCTTCACTTTGAGAACGAAGGAGGGGAAGTGGAAGATGTCGAACTTATTGAAGCCGAACAGTCTGCCATCGTCACCTTTAAGAACCATAAAGGTATTCCATTTGTTCATTTGTTTCAGTAACGGAAATATGATTCTTAGCATTGTTCTGACAGTTTGTATTTTATACCTTTAGATGCTAGAAAAGTCCTAAACAAGAAGCATCAGATAAAAAAGGAAGAAGTCAAAGTCTATCCGTTTTACAAGTCTTTGGGAGCAGCTCTTTATGGCAAGGATAAGCCTTCACTAAAACTTCCTGCTGCCATCTCAGATTCCATTGATGAAGCTGTCCTTAGATATCTGTGTAACAACAAAGCTGCTGCGGAGACTGTTCGTTGTGACTTGGCTAAACATTTCTGCGTCATGACCCTTAACCAGTCAAACATGCGCCTGAACCCTGCACCTTCGTTACTAAAGGAAAATAATGCCAAAGCCATCATCAAAGAGTGGGAAAACACTGTGAAGTCAGCCTTTGCACAAGCTGTGTCTAAGTTCAAAGCCTTAAAGTTCTCTCTTGAGTCGGAGGTATGGAAAGAGGTAGAGGAGAAGATCAAGCAGACACTTCATAATGAAAACGTGGTTGTAGTACCCAATAAAGCCAATGGTGTCTTATCAGTGGCGGGTCTTGTGACAGATGTTAACAGATTGGAGAAACCTCTGACAGAAGTCCTTAACAAAGTTCAAGAAAAGGTGCGAAGGGAGAAGTTAAGCAAAAGCCAAGAAATCAAAGTTTCTCCATCACTTCTCCACCTTCTTTCCCAAGATGGTCTTCAGAATAAACTTTTACAAATGTACCCGGAGCTGAAAGTGGCCTATGACAAACAGAACGGGRCTGTGAAAGTAACTGGCTTTGTGGATGAGATAATTAATGCAAACAAAGTGATAAATGAGGCCATGTTTGCATTAAAACGGCAAAATTTAGAAGTAGACACGCATTTGTTTGACATGTTGAAGAACGAGCAACAAGAGGAGCTCACAGATGCTCTTTTCACAGCCTATGCCATAAATGCAGCGTTGGAGATCAGCGCACATCGGCTGCAGCTCATTGCCATTTCTGACCGGGATCTGTTGGATGCTCAGGATCATCTGAAGCAGCTGCTGATTTCTCACTACATTGATGTTGAAGACAGTGACGTCCTGAAGATGTCAGAGTGGCAGGACCTTGTCAGTCAGTTGGAAAGTGCCAACAGTGACTCAGGCAGAAAAGCTCGAATCCACACTACTCCTCAACAGGTCGTGGTGTCTGGCCACAAGGATAATGTCGCAAAAGTTAGCGATGAATTAGAGGACTTTTTAACACAGAATGCTCAAGTTGAAGAAATTGTTAATGTTCAGGCAGATCTCATCGTTGAATACCTTCAAAGTCAGACAACCTTGTTGAAACAGTTAGAAAGCAGCGTGGAAGTGTCTTACTTAGAGAAGACCATCATCCTAAGTGGTTCCAGAGCTGCTGTAAAAAAGTGTAATAKCGTTGTGGAAGACTGGGTGGGTACTGTGTGCTTTGATCATTTTAAAGTTTCAAAACCTGGAGTAAAGAAGTTCTTTAAAGAGAAAGAAGCCATGTATGTTCCCTTAATCAAGAATGAAACTGGTTGCATGGTCCAGCTGGTGGATGAGGAAGAAGATGACTTTGCATTTGTACAAGTGCAAAAACCTGTTTACCAAATTCAGACGACTGATGGAGTGGAAATAGCTGTTTTTAAGGCAGATATGTGCAGGCACCATGTGGATGCTGTCATCAATTCTTCTAATGAGGACCTGAACCTTAATGGGGGTCTTGGAGGAGCACTTTCAAAAGCTGCTGGCCCTCAGTTGCAGAGTGAATGCGACAAACTAATAAATGTGAATGGAAAACTGAAACCTGGGGAATGTGTCATCACTGGTGCTGGGGGGCAGCTCTGCTGCAAAAATGTCATCCATGCTATGGGTCCAAGATTTGAACCCAGTAAGTCCACAAAAGTTGAGTTACAATTAAAAAAAGCTGTTAAAGGAAGCTTAGAACTCGCTGAAAAGAATGGTTGTCTTTCTGTGGCTCTTCCTGCCATCAGTAGAGGCCTAGGCTTCCCCCTCAGTCTGTGTGTGCAGACCATCGTCAAAGCAGTGAAGGAATACTGCGACGAGAAGTACGATGACATCACACTGAAGAAGATCCATCTGGTGGACAATGATGATCAAGTTGTTCAGGTTATGGAAGGTGCCATCAAACAAGTGTTTGGAAATCAGGGTGTTAGTCATCCTCTATCAGTTCCTCCTCCTAAAGTCACAAAGTCTCCACAAGTGAAGCTACCTGTACTTCACCACAACTTGGGTTATGTGCGAACTCCGGAGGGCTTGGAGATCGTTCTGAAAAAAGGACACATTGAATCTGCCAAGGTAATATTTGATCATATTTTACTATGCCTTATTTCAAGATAGCACATAATTTAGTTTGTGATTTTGCACGTTTTTAGACGGAGGTGATAGTCAACACAGTCTTTGAAGATCTTGCACTGAATAGAGGGGCGGTTTCAAATGCCATCTTGGCTGCAGCTGGACCCAAGCTTCAGCAACTGGTTTCTAGCCAAAAGTCTAATGGAACAACTGGTGACATCATTGTTACCGACAGCTGCAAGCTGAAGAGCAAGCAAGTATTCCATGCAGTTTCACCTAGCTGGGATAAGGGCCAAGGCACAGCTGAAAAGGTAAGTCTTACATTATGTGTTAACGGAGTTCTTAAAATGTGTWTTCATCAACAAAACTGTACTTCAAATGTAATTTTCAGGAAAACTCCACTTGTATCACATTATWTATGATCTGTCTTCCAGATCTTAGGTGGGATCTTTAAAGATTGCTTGGACACGGCAGAGAAAAGTCAGTTGGCCTCCATATCTTTCCCGGCTATCGGTACTGGAAACTTGGGATTTCCAAAAGACCTTGTTGTGTCGGTGATGCTGGATAAAATCCTGGACTTTAGCAGCCAGACACAACMCAAGCACCTAAAGAAGGTTGCAATTGTTCTTTTCCCCAAAGATACACARACTATTCAGGTAAATGTAACAATCTTTAACATGTTTTACTCAGAACATGTAGAGGCAGTTCAACTGTTGAGTCTGGTGTGTTGGAGCACGGATCAAGGGATCTGTAAAACCAATGAAACTGAACAAGAAATCCGTTTGTTTGATAATTTTAGTCTGTCAAAAGCTATCCAAACACTTTTGTCTTGAAATCCAGTAATGATGTGCTTTGTTTTAAAACTTGTTTATTAATTAATTTCCCTCCAGGTGTTTAGTGATGAATTTATGAAGAAGTTTCCTAATGCCTCTGGTAATTTGACGTCTACAAGCTCCACCCAGAGTACAGGTAGGCTGCAGTGGATTTTATCCACTTATTTTTTTTCAAATTTCAATTAAATATGAAGGACTTAGGAGCAGGAGTTTTAGATGTTAAAGGAAAAATGCATTATAGCAGCAAACACATGTATGCAAGTAAAACTATATTATATTTGGTTTGTTCAGTAATCTAGATGAAACTTTAGGATTAATATCCCTTGTAACATAAGATCTTATTGACAATTTATTCTTCAATTTTAATTCCATTTAAATATTACATGTGTCCTGTTTTGGTCTGTGGGTAGGTTCCTTCTCTAAAGTCATCTCTACTTCTGGAATGCATGAAACTAAAATGGGGAATGTGACGGTGCAAGTAGTGTCTGGAGACATAACTAAGGAGACTACTGATGTCATCGTCAACTCTTCAAATGAAAACTTTTCTCTTCAGTCAGGTAAACATTTCTAACCAAAAGTGAAAATGTTTAGGATCCACACATACTTTGTTTCGTCTCCTTCTAACACTGATAGAAATGAAATAGAATAGAACAGATATGAAAATGAAGTTTATGTTGTAGATCTCTGTCTAAAATTGCTCWGCATCTTTAAATGATAAGATTGATAAAAAAATACCATAACCTTTAGTACATATGTATTTAAATTGAAAGTTATTTCCTGTCTCCCTCCCCAGGTGTTTCCAAGGCAATTCTGGATGCAGCTGGTCGGGCTGTTATAGAAGAATGCCAATTCCTCAGTAATAAAATAACTTTTTTGTTAACTATTTGTTACCTTTTCTCAAAGTTTTCCTCAACATTAGTGTAACCATTTTCTTGCCTCGTAACATTTACAGTGCGCTCAGTTGATAATTAATCCAGCTCTGTGTCATTGCCAAAGTTGGTCCAGAAAGTCAGTCCAGCATGAATAAACAAACATCACAGCTGTAATATTTCAGTAGAATTCAGATTCCCTATCCATGTCCACAGGTTCACAGCCCAATCCAGGCATGATAATGACACAGCCAGGGAACCTGAAGTCCAAGAAGATCCTCCACCTGGTCGGAAAGACGGACCCGGCAGAAATCAATATTGTTGTGAAGGAAGCTCTTCAAATGTGTGTGAAGGACAACCACAGCTCCGTCTCTTTTCCTGCCATTGGTACAGGTGAGGTTTACTAACAGGTTAAAACACAATAACATACGATTCATACAAGTTTCTCCCTACAGGCTAAACATGGCTTCTTTCTGATTATGAATGTTTAAAACTGCAGCTTATTGCAGTTTCAGTTCTTGAATTGTGTCTTGGCTGGTGTTGACAAACCGGCATTGACTTGTCCCCTTAACTCCAGTCTTCAAAATTTCCATTTGCCGTTCATACAAATGCTATTATTTAAACCTTTATTTAACCATTAGTTTCRCATTATGTAATAATTTTGGAAGAAATTCTCTAAAATTTATTGCAGAAGTGACTCACGTGCTCACGTAAAACGTGCAGAGAATTGGTATCATTTAGTTAAATTTGTACATTTCAAACACTTTTCTGTTGTACCTTTCTAGGTCAAGGCAACGTCAAGGCAAAACAGGTGGCAGATGCCATGTTGGATGCAGTGATTGATGTGATGAGCCAAAACACTTCCAGTGCCCTGACTTTAATCCGAATAGTCATTTTCCAGGCACCCATGCTCAGTGATTTCCTAAGCAGCATGCAACAAAGGGAAGCCACAGATCCTAAAGATAAAGTGGGATTATTTGGCAAAGCAATGGAAACATTAAAATGTAAATATAGAAAATACAACTTAGTTATTTTTTCCTGTCATAAACATAAGTTATAAATATGCAATTCTAATGTATTTTTTATTTCTGTTATAGCTCTCTTTTATTCCAAAAGTCAAGATGACCCCCAGAAAAAAGATGATGTCATCATTGAGACAGTCAAACCAAAACCTACTTGTTTCCACATCTGTGGTGACTCTCCGGCTAATGTGGACGCAGCTAAAAAGAAGATAGATGCCCTAATTTCTGATGACCAACAAAGCATCCCCATAATCGATAATGACATTCTAAACTTCTCTATTGCAGACTGTCAGCAAATCATTGACATCCAGAAAAACCTGGGTGTGAGCATAAGAACGGAGAACCAAAATGGCCAGGTCTCCATCGTCATTGAGGGTCTCAGTAAGGATGTGCTCAAAGCTCAAACTGAGATAAATAAAATGCTGAGGAGGGTGAGACAGGAGCAGGAGATGCAAAAGAAAATGGAACTGGTGAATTCAGTGGCAGATTGGCAGTATCAGTCACCAGGGCTTCAGTTTCAGAGTTTTGATCCAATGACCAACTACCAGCTTGAGCAAGCATTGGAGAAGGCAATACAAACTGTRCAAGTTAAAATCAAAGGTCAAGTCTACACTGTGACGATGCCAAAAGGACCAGCCACTGACAGCAAGGGAAACACCCTGAAGATAAAGCGAATTAACAAACTGAAAGGTAATTCACACAAGAACTAGAGAAATTGCAGAATGACTGCTGAAGAGGCTGAAAATTAGTCATTAAAGCTAAAAGAAGCAAAACACTTGTTAAATGGTAAATGCTGGTAAAAGCAGCTAAGGTTTAGCTAAAAACTAAAATAAGCAAAAAGGGTAGCTAAAATAGCAAAAGACTAGCAAGAAGCTAAAAATTGCAAAAGACGTATGGGGCAAAAGAGAATAAGCACTGGATGTTTTGGCAACAATATCTATTTTTTTATTTTAACTTAAATTTCAAGGAACATTGTTGAGCTTGTGACATTTGTATGCCCTAAAACAATGTCTCAAACAACATGTTTTCTTTTCTTCAGAAACTGATATTCCTGACCACTGGGATGACATCCCAGCTGGCACCACATGTCTACCTGTCACTTTGCAGGCTGGGACACCAGAGTATACTGATGTCGTTAAACTGTTCCAAGCCACATGCAATCGAACCATTACCAAGGTAACATTCATTAATGATCCATTATCACTTGATGTGTATTGATAATTTTTTACTTTTGCTACAACTGCCTTAAAAGTTCTTCTAGATGTGTCATCTGAAATGTGTTTTATTTCTGGTGCACTTTAAAGATAAATGAGAATGCAAAATTGACAAATTCGACACAAAATGCACATATTGTAAACGCACATGTCCTTGTTTGTAGATTGAGAGGATTCAGAATCCTGCACTGTGGAAGGGTCTTGAGATCAAAAAGGTAGAGTTGGAGACAAGAAATGGTCATCCTAACAATGAGCAACGCCTATTCCATGGCACCTGTGAAAATACTGTTCCTACCATCAACGAACGTGGCTTCAACAGGAGTTATGCGGGAAAGAACGGTAAGACATCTGGTGGTTTTGTAGTTTAGAGGAAACAACTGTTGTTTCAGGGTGTATTATACAAAATCGACTTTTTTGAGCTTTGCATCATGCTGTAATGCCATACCCTCATCAAAAACATACCYAGAGCGTTGCATGTTTGATAAATCCTTGAATCTCATGTGGTAGTCATGTGGAAAAACGCTTGATGGTACAAAGCACCGTCTATGTACACATAGCTCCTCACTGGAGCTGAGTGTGGAGCCGAGCTCCCACCCCAGAGAGCACCCCTCCCCTGAAGCATTGTTGTAAAGACATGCTGAAGTGGGAGTGTCAGAAATGGTAGGAGGAAAAGCGACTGCAGTCTGAATGCACATGTCGCATTCCATCCGACTTTTTGTCAGTGAGGTGGGGGGGAAGGATGGATAAGACACTAACCTCGAGTCAGGCTGTTTAAATCTGTAGCTCAGTGCATTTACAGCTCCAAAACAGAAGTCCATTTGCTTCGTCTTTTTTTTCTTTTAATTTTYCRTGTCCTGGATGACTGAGAATCCACAGAAACATATGATAGTATGTGTCCAAACTCATCATGAAAGGAGTTTTTCATGCGCTCTTAATAAATTAAGTGTTGAATTTACTCCACCAAGTCATATCACCTGGTTTCACTAAACCTAGTAGAATAAATATGGAGTAATATACATATTTTATTTAAAAGAAAATATGTATATTGATCAACTTACTCAACTTGCTTTAATGGAACCAGTTTGGTTCATTAAATTAAACTGTTTATTTCTTAGAGAATGTGCAAATGTACTTTTACTTTCCTGATTTTTGTGAACAGTTTTGTGACTTTTACTTAAGTACTTTTCTCATCAGTAAAACAAATTTTAACCAAAGCCATTTTCTTTAATGGTATTTTTACTTTTACTTAGTTATTTTTTTCAAGGACAAAGACCTCTGAGGTTCAGATATAAACATTGAACTAAACAAGCACATCAGATAATTATTTAATCGGCTCTGATTAAACAACTTCAAATTTGACATGATAAAAGTAGCATCCATGCTAACTCCATAAACAAATAAGCTGAATGAGACGTCACGTCTTTTACTGCGCATGCGGATCACATCAGTGCCGTGTAGAGTTCACACTGGAGTCTAATAGAGGTGGCATTTAAAATGTAATGTGAACTTTCACACCAAAAAATCTGAATTGAGCATTAAGACCTGCTGGGTGAACATAGCCATATAATAGTAGCAAAATGTACTATTATTATTATTGTTATTATTAATATTACAGTGTTTTGTGTCACTGCCATCTCCTTGACCAAACTGAGAACAATCTACCTTCAACCACTATTAATATTAATAATATTGTCTGGGGAGAGCATAACACWCATTTTTAACAATCGTAACACTTGTCTATGTGGGAAAATAAAAAAATCAGCATGTTTCTCTCCTGTTTCATTTGAATTTTAGAGACCACAATGCAACAGCTGATTAAAGGGGCAAAATCGTGTGCTTTCCAAGTCTATATTTAAATTTTGTACTAAAATAAAGTAACTATGTCAAATTTTCAGCTTATGAAAGAGCTATATATTTGTAAAAATCACCAAAACAATTTACTTCTCATCTTGACAGTTTCTAAACGTCTTGAAATAGGTCTCTTTCTCTTCAAGAAAATCCAACCACTTAGGTCACGCCCATTTCAGCACGTAGTAGAGTCACGGAGCAGGTGGGAGGAGGGGCGCGCTCCGCCATGAAGAATTTCGGCTTAAAGACACATCCCAGAGGAGGAGTTTGTCCCAAAAGGACACAACCCAGAGGCATTTCCGGTTCCCACCTGTCGTTTTGCTCCTCAGCATGGCTGCCTAAATACGCTGCAGGATTTCTCAAACATGCATGAATGAGTCAAAGCAAGGCTTTGGGCATGTTTTTTATGAGCGTGTAACATTATAACATGATATAAAACTCAAAAAAGTTGATTTTACATGATAATGCCCCTTTAAGATTTGTAAGAAAATGGCTTGTCCCATTTTGAATGAGGGATGAAGTCCTCAATATACAGGGGGTAAAATAAGTATTGAACACGTCACCATTTTTCTCAGTAAATATATTACTAGAGGTGCTAATGACATGAAATTTTCACCAGATGTTGGT